CCCCCCCCCCCCCCCAAAAAAAAAAGATATTCATTCCCTTTTCTCTTTTTTGTTTTCCTTGTCCAAAGGGGTCTGCTATATGTGGCTTGCTATTACTTTTTTTAGTAAATGAATAGTGGTATAACAAGCCATCCACTTCTTGTTCCCTTCTCCAATCATGACTTGTTATATGAGAAATTTACCTAAATAGGACTAAAACATAATGACTTTTCCAATATAGGACTATATGTTTTTATTTCTCAATGTGGACCTTTGGTCATTATCAAGTAGTCATTATTCAACTAAATGTCTATCATTACTAGACATTATTCCTTCCACAAGATCATTATTAAGTCCTATTTAGGGAATAAAAAAGTTTAAGTCCTACATTAGGAAAGTCATTATGTTTTAGTCCTATTTAGTGCAAATTTCACTTGTTATATTATACTCTCTCCGTCCCGGAAAACATGCGAGTTTTGATTTTGAAGAAGGATTTAAGGAGAGTGTATTTTGGTATTGAATTTCCAAAAATATCCTTTGATGTGATGGGTAAAAGTATGATTTGATGGATAGATTATTAGTAAAAAAGTATGATATGATAGGTAGTATATGAAAAAGTAAGGGGTAAAATTGACTTTTTAATAGAAATGAGAAGTGTTTTTTGGGACGGATGAAAAAAGAAAGGAGAAAGATTTTCAGGGACGGAGGGAATATTATCTTCATCCCAAAATGTTTCTCATTTTTTGATCAACATGCAAAACTTCATGACTTTTAAAATGATTTTATTTACAAATTTGTAAATAAATACAAAATAAAAAATTATATTTAAAAATTACATAAAAAACTCTACAAAACAAAAGCCCATAAGAATATTTTATTTTATCAACTGATCAATGAAAACACGTAAACAAATAAGAGTTATCGAGATGTCATAATAGTAAATGGATAATTTTTTTGGGACGGAGGGTGTAACTAACAAATATATTTTGTTCCAATACCCATTATAATACATAAAATACAATAGTTCTTGAATTGTATTTATTCATGTAAATGTAAAACATAAGTAATAAATATGGAGTATGTGTCAAGAAACCGATTGACCGATTCAATCAAAAGTTCAAGCTTGTGGTTATGTCCCATGAAAGTTATTTATATTTGTAATTAAAAATATAAAATAAAATGTTTCTAATTAAAATAAAATGAATCAAACAACTCTTCCTATGGTAAAAAATCACATTCATAGCGGAAAAAAAGTTATACGGAGTATATGTGCAGTATAACTCAATGCAAAAGAAAATCACATTAATTTTTGTTTAGCTATATTCTAGCATGCTTGTTATAAATAGCAAGTTATTTTTATTTTTTAACAAGCTAGTCAAATTTTGAATAATCCCTTGGATCATGAAATTTTGTATATGCTTGTCAAATTATAACATATAGCAAGTCATTTTGCTATGGTTGGAGATGCTCGCATGAACAATGACAAGTTAAAAATAAAGAGAATTTCTTTCATGTCTTGGCTAATGAAGGGGCATGGATGCCCCTCTAGTGAATTCTTGTCATGTGGGCTTTTTAATCATGTTAATAAATAAAACACTCCATATCATTTTAACTTTTAAATATTACATAATGACCTCATTTCTTTTTCCGTTTTACTTATCTAAGGGTCTTTTTTTAATGAAAATTTATTTCATACATTTTTCAATTCTTTTCTATTTTTAACCACTTCAAGTTTATTCCAATAATAACTTAAAAAATTTATTTATTTTTATTTTTTAATAATATTCCTATTACATTCATTATAATTATAATTATTACTATTCCTACCATTGTCATTATTGTCATCACCATTGTAATTAAAATAAAATAAAGAACTGAAGTAATAAAACAATTTTCATATAAAAAATATTTCTTTTGTCTAAAAACATATACGGAGTATTAGTTATCATTATAGAGTCAACAAAAAATATTAAAATGTTAAATGAATTAATTTATTCTATATATATATACATTCCACTTTGTAATTTTGTAATAATCCATAATTTTGTCTATTTGTTGATTGAGATAATATTAGATTATTTATGCCAATTTTTGGTTTAAATAAGATTAATGAAAAATATTAGTAATAGATTATTGGCATTGAGATTAAGGAATAAGAACTAAATGATTTAACTTATATATGGAATTAAGAAATACTCTCTCCGTCCCAGTGTATTTGTCCTATTTGACTTTTTTGAGTGACAAACTTTGAGCTTCAATTAAATAAAAATCATAATGTATTTTTGTTAGAATAAGTTCCCTTCACTAGAGGGGGGGTGAATAGTGAGGCACGAGAATGTTTATAAATTTTCGTGGAATAAAAATCGTAGGGATAAAGTAAAGAGCAGAATAAAAAGTGTAAGGAAAGAACATACCAATTTTACTTGGTTCACCACAACGTGTGGCTAGTCCAACCTTCCAAGAGACTCTCTCGAGCTACACTACTTCCGTTAAGCTTACGGGTGCTTAACAAACTGTTACAACTTAAGAACTTGAGTCCCACGAGCCTCAATACACTTGCTCGGACATACCGCACTCCAAGACTTCAACCTGAAGAAATATGCCCTTCCTTCGTACAACCAAGGTAAAAAAAAACCTTCCTTAAAGTGTTCACAATACTTCACCACTCAAGAGAAAAACTCTCTTAAAGAGTAGAATATGTGTAAAGTAATTTAGATCAAGAACATACTCAATTCCTCAAGAAATGGCTCTAAAAAGCTATGTAAAAAAGTTTATGAAATGATGCAATGTAAATCTATGAAGTGTGTGAGGAATGGTTGTAAAAAGTAGACCCAAAAGACCCTTATTTATACCCAAAAAGATGTGTAACGGATGGGAGTTGATTGGTGTTTAATGGCATGATTTGTGGAAATCAAAACAAAGTTGGTCTACAGGATTTTGGCCTAACATCAATGTTCATAAAGTGAACATCACTGTTTTGGCTTTGACTTTCCTTTAAAAATGGCTAACGGTCATCAAAACATCGATGTCTGGAAGTCTACATCAGTGTTGGGGTGATTGACTTTCAAAAATGGAAAAGTTTGTCAAAAATAACCCAACTGTCATTTGAAAACATCGCTGTTCACAATTGAACATCGTTGTTCAAAAACTCACTGCCAAGAACTCTGAATGCCAACACCGCTGTTGGGAATTCGTACATGCGTGTTGGGCTGGTTTGCCAGAACCATGGTTTGGCTGCCAACGCCGAAACCGATGTCAAAAACCAAAGTTCTTCAAAATGAAAACCAAGTGTTGGAAACTCTTATATGATGTATTTTATGTAGAAACCAAGTATAAAAACTTAAAAACCACTTCATTAAGGTAAAAACCACGACTAGCCAAGTTTATGTCGTTTCACATGGTTTTCACCAAAAGACCAAAAACGAAAAGTTTTTTTTGACATGTTTTTATTGGAGAATTGTTTGGATATGTCCACGAGTAAAAACCATTCATAAAATCTTAAAAACCACTTGATTGATTTGGACGCCAAAAACCAACGCTAATAACTAGCGCCGAATGCCGATAACCAATGCCGGAAGACAAAGGTTATGGTTTTTGAAAACTAATCATTTGGAAAACCTTAGCTTTAAATGTGTCCAGAAGCCAAAACCAAAGATAAAAACCCAAAAATAATTTGTCTAAAATCAATGCCAATAACCCAAGCCGAAAACCGAACGCCATAGCCGAATGCCAATAACCGATGGTTATGGTTTTGGTTGGGCAAGAACCAGGGGTTTTAGAAACTTAAAAAAATTTATGAAAACACTCATTTGATGCATGAAAAACATAACTTGTTTTGATCCATGGCTTAGAGAAATTGAATGAGCTTGTTACAATAAAAACCTAAGTATTTAGACATAATCTTCAAAACGCCAATGTCGTCGTCTTTAGAAACATCAATGCCTTTATTGTACTTTTTGTTCCTTCAAAGAGCTTTTGCTATGACTTTGAAGCTTTTCATTTTGTCCCAAGTTCCCGACGGTTTGTCAATATCAAAACCTAAACGGAAACAAGCATTGTCATTAACAAAACATCAATGTGAAAATGCTTTCTAACAATTTCCCCCTTTTTGATAATGACAAACCAAAGCGGGGATATGCAGGCCAAGTTGGGGTTTCAAAGAGAGAGTAATGGTAATTCCCCCTACGTCTTTGGAAACAAGATTCCCCCTCACTTGTTGCATATACCCAAACACTTCCCCCTTTTGGCATTAGCAAAAAGCACTAAATAAAGTTTAAAAAGTGTACTCCTTGAACATTGATGTTTAATACAAAACATCATTGTTGTATATTCTCCCTGAAACTGATACCATGTTTACAACAAAAATAATTCCCCCCAAACTCCCCTTGATGCAAATAATTTGGTTTCGTGCTTGGAGCATCCACTACAAAAATGTAGTCTTCAAACAAACCTACATATGCATCTAAAAATAATTTTTAGGTACCCAAAAACTTTTGGGTCCTTGAGGGTTAGGCAAATAATAAT